AGATAGACCATTCCCCGCCGGAAAAGAGAAAAGGTTTCGCCGAGACAGCCTCTCCACCACCGTCCGGGCAACTTTTTCGGTGTTCTGGCCGCGCAGGGGCTGTACACCGGCGGGTGTGCGTCCACCTCACCCGCAAGGTGTTCGGTGATTTTCCCGGCCCGGCGATGGACTCAGACGACGAGGAGGCGCTCGCGGCGTTGCTGGAGGAGGAAGCTGAAGCCGATGTCCACGAACAGGAGCATCTCATGGTGCATGCCGCCCTCACCGGCCTGCTCGCGAGCAGTGAAAAGCCGCGGCGAGGTGGCTCGGCGCCAGGGCGGGTGAAAGCAAAAGACCAGCATCGTCTAGAAGGCTATTGCATGCTCTACTCCGACTACTTTGCCGGCGCTCCATTGCACGGCGAGAAAACATTTCGGCGCCGTTATCGGATGAGCCGAAAGTTTTTCCTCAGGATTGTGAATTCCATCCGGGAGTCCGACAGCTACTTCAAGTGCAAGAAGGATTGCACCGGCACACTTGGATTCACCTCAATCCAGAAGTGCACGACAGCTATGAGGATACTTGCATATGGACTTATGGAGCTCCCGGTGATTCACTCGACAACTATGGGCGCATGGCCGAGTCCACCGCCATTGAGTGTTTCTATAAGTTCTGTAGGGCAGTGGTGGCAGTGTTTGGACCGCAATACTTGCGAACACCCAATGCGGAAGACACTGCTCGAATCCTAGCATAGAATGCAGCAAGAGGATTTCCTGGGATGCTTAGAAGCATCGACTGCATGCATTGGAAATGGAAGAACTGCCCATTTGCTTGGCAGGGGTTGTACAAAGGCGCCAAAGGCGGTTAAAGTGTGGTACTTGAGGCAGTGGCCACACAAGACCTCTGGATTTGGCACTCTTTCTTTGGGATGCCAGAGACTCACAATGACATCAACGTCCTGCAGTGCTCCCCTGTCTTTGCCAAGCTTGTTGAAGGTCATTCTCCTCCGGTGAACTTCTAGGTCAATGTGCGGCACTACAACAAGGAGTACTACCTAGCTGATGGCATCTATCCGAGATGGTCGACATTTGTGAAGACTATCTCAAACCCTGTGCCAGGAGGTAAAAATGCCTTCTTTGCGAAGGTTCAGGAGGCTTGCATGAAGGATGTCGAGCAGGCATTTGGTGTGCTCCAATCTTGATTTGCTGTTGTCCGGTACCCTACACAGACCTGGTTGAAAGATCAAGTGTGGGAGATCATGACTTTCTGTGTCATCTTGCACAACATGATCATTGAGAGCGAGCAGGAAGAGCCAGTGTTTGACCCAGAACCATATTACAGGCAAGGGCCTTTTGCCCAAGTTGATCACCAGCTACCGGCAACCTGGACTGCCTACCTCAATATGTGTCAGGAGATCCGAGACCCACAGGTGCATCAAGAACTGCAACACGATCTGGTGGAGCACCTATGGAGGCTCAAGGGCGACACCGGGAATGACGTGTGATGAAATATGAGTTTTTATTTGTTGAACTATATAATTTGCACTGAAATATTTGTTGAACTATTTGATTTTTATTGATTTTTTTTTATGAACTATGAAGGCAAAAACACGCCGAACTACATCGAATTATATGATGAACTATTTGATTTCTATTTTTTGAATTATTTATGGGGGAATTCACGTCGAAACACGCCGAATCGCGTCGAATATGGGCTAATTCACGCAGATATCGGATCGTTTTTGGACGAAAGTGGGCTGAATAATGGGCCGAAATCGACGCCTGGGGGCCGACGACTGGGTGCCTAACCGCCCCAGAGCCGAATTTGCCGCTGGCTCGTCCCCAGGCGGCGATTTTTACGCCTCCTGGGGGGTTGGGGGAGGGGCAACGGCTGGAGATGCTCTTACGACTAGGAGACGTGAATGATCCACCACCGCCACCGGCAGGAGTATTTTGGCCGTGGGAGCGGGACCTAGTGGCAGCCTCCTTCCATGGTTGCGCCCGCATACACACACTGTAAGCCCGTCACTCAAAGCGGCTTTGAAAAAGGTGTGGCTGGCAGCAGTACTCTGTACTCGGTAGGGTATCAGCAGACTATGACCAGCACTAACACGGGCACCACTCCTCCATTATCGCCTTGCTCTTCTATTAAAAAAGGATTGCCTTGCTCTTCTACTAAAAAGGGAACGAGTTGGGGGTCACCACCATTGCTCTTGCTCAATCAATCCATGGAGCTTGTGTAGTCGGCGGCTTCAATCAAGGGTAGTAGATCGCCTTCGTTTTCTCTCAACCACCATTTGCTGTAAAAAAATATCCTATGTATTTCCCCGCGATGTAGAACAGTTTCTCTGATTTTCCTACAACAGATTCCTGCCATCTAATTCCCAATCGGTGCTACAGGAATTCTTCCTAGATAAAGGATCCATCCATACATCGAGATGGAGGTGGTGACTGGTGCCATGGGAAGCCTGCTTCCCAAGCTCGGCGAGCTGCTCGTGGGGGAGTACAAGTTGCAGAAGGGCGTCAAGGAGGACGTCGAGTCCCTCGAGAGGGAGATGAAGAGCATGAACGCTGCTCTTGTCAAGGTGGCGGAGGTGCCAAGGGACCAGCTGGACAACCAGGTCATCGTCTGGGCTGATGAACTCAGGGAGCTGTCGTACGACATGGAGGATGCCATCGACAACTTCCTGGTGTGCATCGAGGGGATGGGATCCGACGCCGTTGCCGACTCAAACAAGCTCAAACAGCTAATCGTGAAGATGGCCAACTTATTCACCAAAGGCAAGACTCGCCATCAGATCGCTAGTGCCATCAGGGACATCAAGAACCGCGCCCAAGAGGTGGCTGGCCGGCGTGACAGATACAGGGTCGACGATGCTGTTGCCAATGCAGCTGGAAAACACAAAGTTGACCCTCGTGTCTTGGCTTTGTACAAGGATCCGAAAGAGCTTATTGGCATTGAAGACGCACGGAACGAGCTAACCAGGCGGCTCACAGATGGTGATGGTTATGGGGATGTTCCCAAGCAGCAGCCCAAGATGAAGATAGTCTCTATTGTTGGACCTGGAGGACTTGGCAAGACTACACTTGCTAAGGCAGTGTATGATAGGCTTCAAACACAATTTGAATACACAGCTTTTGTTCCGGTGGGTCGAAACCCTGAAGTGAAGAAAGTTCTCAGGGATATCCTCTTGGAACTTGACAGGAAACAGAAGCAAGAGTGTATGGGTGATGTAGTAACACTGGATGAAAGACAACTAATCGACAAACTCCGACGACGACTTGAGAATGCAAGGTACGCACCATCTGCCTTAATCAAGTTTATATCTCAAAACATAAGCAAATTGAGCTGGTTAATCATTCCCAATTACAGAGGTATAAATTGAAAATACCATCGACAATATATGACGTGTAGAACCTAATGTGTTTTAATAAGAACTACAGTTCGGATGCAAGATATTAGATCAATCAAATTCATGCATGCATTTTTCTAGTGGCTTACTACCTCCTTTTCTTTATTGTACCTGCTGTAAATTGAATGATTTCATATGTATTTATATTTTATAGTTCTTATTGAGGTGGCTGCTATGCATTTTCAACATATTTTCTAGGTGGTTTTACTAGCTAAAGCTGGCTCTTGTGTTGTCATGTGGATAGGTACTTCATTGTCATTGATGACATATGGGATTTAAAAGCATGGAACATTATCAAATGTGCTTTGCTTGATAACAATCATGGGAGCCGAGTAATCACAACTACTCGTATTCTCGACGTCGCCACAAAGACCGGTGATATTTACAAGCTAAAACCACTTTCTCAATATTTATCTGAAGAATTGTTCTATACAAGATTGTTTGGTGGTAAAGATAAATGCCCTTTTGATCAACCGGCTGAAGTATCAAACAAAATTTTACAGAAGTGTGGAGGTGTGCCATTAGCTATAATTACAATAGCTAGTTTGTTGGTTGGTAAACCTATGGAGGATTGGTCTAAAGTATTCAACTCTATTGGTTTTGGATCTGGAGATAATAACACAGATGTAGAGAACTCGAGGAGGATATTATTATTTAGTTATTATGATCTACCTTGTCATCTAAGGTCTTGTCTGCTGCATCTGAGCATATACCCAGAAGACTATTCGATCATGAAAGACACATTGATATGGCAGTGGGTCGCCGAAGGATTTATCAATGAGGAACCAGGGGTAAGTTTATTTGAGACCGGAGAAAAATACTTTTATGAACTCTTAAATAGAAGCATGATCCAGCCGGTAGAGCATCCAGCAAAGCACACAATATATGCTTGTCATATTCATGATATGGTGCTGGATATGATTTGTTTATTATCAAAGGAACAAAATTTTGTTACTATATTGGATAGTAACGAAGAGCACACACCTTCACAATGCAATGCCCGCAGGTTAGCTATTCAAAAGAGGGTTGTGCCTCTGGCTAACATGAGCATGCCGAAACTGAGGTCGTGTTATGCTACCATGTGTGATCCCAATGCAGTGCCATCAGTTTCAAACTTTCAAGCGCTACGTGTTCTAGCCATGGAAAAGTGCAGTTTTGAGAGAGACCGTCCTTACCATCTTGAGCATCTTGGGAGGTTACCTCAGTTGAGATACCTGAGTCTACGGAGCACACATATTACTAAAATCCCAGAAGAAATAGGACATCTAAAGCTTCTGCAGACACTGAACTTGAGGAACACTCATATAAAAGAGTTACCAGAGAGTATTGGTTTGCTAAGAAAACTCAAGTGTCTGCTTGCTGATGTGTATGGTGGTGCTGGTATAACAGTGTCGAATTGGATAGGGAACCTGACATCCTTGGAAGAGCTACATTTGGTAAGTGCTGACGAGTCTTGTATCTTCGCGAAAGAGCTCAGCAAGCTGACAGAGCTGAGGGTGCTCATCTGTAGTTTAGCTACAGTTAAGGATGAGTGCTGGCTCAAAAATTTTTGTGGAGTCTTTATGCAATCTGCGGAAAATCCAAGTCCTAGGACTATCTTGCTTCCGGTGGCTGAGATTGGACATAGATGCCCACTGGAAAGGCTATGAGCCCCCTCTGCAACTCCGTGATCTGCGCATACCGGGCATTTTCAGTAGGCTCCCGGTGTGGATCAATTCCTCACCTCTTCCAAACCTCTCCAGCCTAGACGTAGACGTGAGAGCGCATGATTTGAGGGAGCAGGATGTGGTGAACCTTGGGAGTTTGCCAGAGCTTACTCGCCTTGTCGAGCCATGGATTCCGGGGGGCATGGAATTCCCTGATGGTGCATTCCCCAAGTTGAGGTGCTGCACGGTGTATGCGCCATTCAGGTTTCTGCAGGGAAGTATGCAGAGCCTTGAATCCATTTTTATCAGAGTGCAGGTGCGTGCCTTGAAGGATGCCAGCATTGATTTTGACTTTATTGGTAGCCTGGGGAACCTACCTTCGCTTCGGGTAGTGCAAGCTGGCATCCACGGCTATAATGCATATGCTTCTGATATTGAAAAGGTGGACGCAATAGTGAGGCAAGCAATCAACAGCCATCCCAACCATCCCACCCTTGATATCTCAACATATGGTGGATATCTGGTGCGTATTACTACTTGCTTCTTTGTCTATCTGGTGTGTGTTTTTTTCAATTCTCTAACAGTTACCAGTGGTGCTTTTAATAGACTGATGAAGAAGAATCGGACTCGGAACAGACCGAACAAGAGGTACTACCAGCCTTCCCTTTGCATCATACTAGCAGTGTTGGTACATTTGCTCAGATAATAGATGGCGACGACGACGAGAAAGAAGAATCACCGGACTCGGAGCAGACATAACAAGAGGCACCTACTTCACTCCAATCTAGTTTCTTTCTTTTTCGATTCCTGTAATCGGCCCTACTTCATTCCAACTCCCTTATTTATTTTGCAGTCTCACCATGACGATGACAACCGCCACATCCCTCGTCTAACAGAGAGCAGTGTTGACGTCGCCGGTACATCTGATCTGGTGCCCGTACATGGAGGTGGTGGGCCTGCCTCAACTTGGGCAACAGTTCCACTGCACCTGCAGAGGATGCTAATGAGGCTGCCAAGCCCTGAATGATAGTGTTGCTGTGCTGAATGATCGGTTAAACTGCAGTACTACTTCTGTTGACCTTTTATCAAAACTGCTTGTTATTCCTGCTACTTGGTTTGTAATGACAGCGGGTTTTATTATGCTATAAGTACTGAAAGTGTGCTATGCCCAATCCTTTTCTTCATTTTTCTTGTTATAGTGTAAAAAACATTCTTATATTATGGGACGAAGGGAGTATCTTTTTTTTCTTTTTTTAAAGAACAAAAAACTGTAGGAGAGACCTGACCTTCACAAGCTAGGCTCTACTAGCTCAGGTATACTCTACTATTAAGATTCCTAATGTTCTCGAACAAAAAAAAATGCTCTGTTCTCTGCAGATAAGATAGTTTCCTTGAATGAATCAGGCCAAAAAAAGACCCACACCAATCTCAATACGATCTACGGGCAACTAGCAAATAGATCGTGGGAAATGATTAGAATCTACCGGCTGAAAACAACATGGGCGTCGGTCGCCTCGTCCCATGGACCCCAAGCGCGTTCCATCCAGCCAAACCTTATCACTCGCCCTCCACCAAATCCTCTTGTACTCGGCCTCTACCAAATCCTGGGCCGTCCCACTCAGAGAACATAAAAAGGCAAATGTTAATGAAAAAGGCACACAAGGACGAATCTCAAACGGTGGAGGTGTGAGATGGCTAGTCCGGCAACATCATGCTCCACCCCTGACCCCTAACCCATCATTTTTTTGCCCGGTCTTGTGTCCGGCCTTGAGCGACACAGCAGACAGAGGAAAAAGCCCCAAAAACATACTGCAGAAAATAATGGTATGAGTACTAATTTGCACATGGTCATTCTCAAAAAAGAATTGCACATGCTATCTGCTTGATTACCATGCAGTTTGATTAGTAAAAAAATCTAAAAATTGTCAGTGGATCAAAAATTAACAACTTAATTTTATATTTCAGAGTAAATAATAATGCTATGAGTAATAAAACATTAATTAAATCGTATATTATATAAATATAATTTGCACGCATTTCATTCTTTATTCAGGAAAAGTATTAACATTGACAAATATCCATAATTTCTTAAGGTTTTTATGGTATTTCTCAAGGGTTTTCAACTGTACATATCCATAGACCAAAAGGATGTACTCCTTCCGTTCCTAAATGTAAGTCTTTTTAGAGATTTCAGTACAAACTACATACGGATGTATATAGACATATTTTAGAGTGTGGATTCACTCATTTTGCTCCGTATGTAGTCTATAGTGAAATTCTAAAAAGACTTATATTTAGAAACGAAAGGAGTAGTTTTTAATATCAAAGTGGTTTTGTTAACCAGACAAAACGGTAACACAATACTAAATGTTTTAAAATTTGATGGTATGCACTATGATTACCTATGTGCTATTTATTATTTTTGGAATGAAGTTACGTGGAAAAACACACTCTACTCATTTCTATCAGTATTTTGTGTTGCTCGCGTGCATTGTTTTAGACACCGCAACCACTGTCGATGAGAGCGGAAAGGAGGTTAAGAGGTGACATAGGTGGGCATCGTGTTAAAAAAGATGGTGCGGATCTATGGAGATCTTGAGCCATACTTTTTGGAATACACACATGCAATTCTTTTCTCTCCCGTTGCAACGTACGGACATTTTTGCTAGTTGTTAGAAATAAACGGGCTAGACACATATGAATTTCTGAAATCTTGAATAGTTGCCCATGAATAAAAAACAAATGGTGGCTCTAAGTTTATTTCCATCACAGAAGTTGGGAAAGAGTTGAACCTCTTTGTATAGTGGGTTCCGACGTTCTGTACACTACACTTAGTGATGTGTGAAGGAGAGAAATAGATGACTACACCTGCGCTCGTCTGCCGGGCCGAGCGCGTGTATGACATGCGCGTGAATGGTCCACCGAAATTCGGTTCATTACCTTGCAGGGTGCATCTTTCTTTTGCATTTTATTTTTTGATATCTTGGCAGATAAAATATTTATTTATTGTCCAATAAGTATACTACTTAGGAACCAAGTCAGATTTGAGATCATGATTGCGGCATGATACCACTTCTCGTCCTATTTTATATACTGCTACTAGCCGTCGCCAAAGACAAACTAAAAACATCTAGGGTTTTGCCTCATTTCGCAACTTGTGTGGTCAGCGTAGTCAACCCTATCTCGAGCATCGGCGTGCATCACGTGCGGGGGAGCAGGTTTCCGGAACCATTCATGTTTGCGATCCATCACTGCGAGAGGACCAATTAGGTTTTTTGAAAGCGCTCTGGGTGACTGCTCAACTTCGTCATCACGCGTCGTCTTCTGTCCAAGTCGGGCGGCGCTACTCATCATCATCTTCATTAACGTCAGCAGCAGATTGTCGCAAGCATCATCATCAACAACGTCGCTCCCTCAGCAGCTAACGAACGGTACATTCATCATGATCTATTTATGTCTCTATCTGTAGTTGTTGTTTTGTGTGTGATGTTGTTGTACATGCTTCCCTGTTCTTCTAGTTCTGTAAATAATCAATTATTCAGAAGCATAATGGCGTCGGGTGTGTGTACCTTTCAAGCAGCCTTGGTAGCTATTTGAGGTGGAGTCTTGTTGTCTGCTAGCCTAAAAATCTCTATGTCCAAGCACCACCACGAGTTACTCAGAAAGTTCAAACTCCAACAATCCTTCCAGCTCCGGGTGGCTGAGGATTCTTCCAAGCTCCCATCCATGGCTCCTCTCGTCTTCGTCCTCCTATTCGGCCAGATCCTACTCTGCACAGGCGTCGACACCATCAACTCCACCACACCGTTGTCCGGGTCACAGAAGATTGTGTCCCAGGGCAGCAAGTTCACCTTGGGCTTCTACTCCCCATCACAAAAGCAAAGTAATGATATCACTTCCACCTCTGACAATTACTACATAGGCATATGGTACAGTACCGTACCACTGCCGACCCCTGTGTGGAGGGCAATTACCGACGTGCTGGTGTCTGACCCGACCACGCGTCCTTTGAAATCGCCAAGGACGGCAACCTGGTCCTCCATGATCAGACCAAGAACCGGCAGCTATGGTCGACCAACGTGAGTGTATCCTCCAACTCCACCGTGGCCATCATCAGGGATAGCGGTAGCATCGAGCTCACCGATGCCTCCAATCCATCCATGGTTTATTGGTGAAGCATAGACTACCCCACAGACACCTGGCTTCCGGGGGCCAAGCTCGGACGAAACAAGATCAATGGTGGGAGCAACAGGCTTGTTTCTTGGAACAACAGCGTAGACCCATCTCCTGGGCTGTTCTCTGTGGAGCTAGACCCAAACGGCAGAACACAGTTTTTAATCCAGTGGAACGAATCAGTAAACTACTGGAACAGTGGCTCCTGGAACGGCAAATACTTCACCATGATGCCAGAGGCTGTCAATAACATTTACCACTTCCAAGTCGTCAACAATGCCACAGAAAGCTACCTCTCCTACTCGATGAAGGATGATTCATTAGTCTCGCGGTTCATCATTATCATGACTGGACAGACCAAGCAGCTGATATGGATGGATTCCAAACAACTATGGATCTTGGTCTGGGCCCAGCCACAGTCATGGTGCAACGTGTATGCGCTTTGTGGGGCATACGGCAGCTGCACCAACCACAATCATGATCTCAAATAGACTTGGTTCCTAAGTAGTATACTTATTGGACAATAAATAAATAATTTATCTGCCAAGATATCAAAAAATAAAACGCAAAAGAAAGATGCACCCTGCAAGGTAATGAACCGAATTTTGGTGGACCATTCACGCGCATGTCATACACGCGCTCGGCCCGGCAGGCGAGCGCAGGTGTAGTCATCTATTTCTCTCCTTCACACATCACTAAGTGTAGTGTACAGAATGTCAGAACCCACTATATAAAGAGGTTCAACTCTTTCCCAACTTCTGTGATGGGAATAAA